AATATGCCGACTCTGTAAACCGCTTAGAGAGGGCTGAAAGCCCTATGAAGCGGTATATAAGTCTAACTGCTAGGAGAAGGAAGGAAAAGGAGAAGGAGAAGAAGGAAGAAGAAGGGAGAAGGGAGGAAGGACGGAGGAGGACGGAGGAGGAAGGAAGAGGAGGAGGAGGAAGAGGAGGAGGAGGAGAAGAAGAAGAATAAGAAGAGGAGGAGAAGGAGGAGGAAGGAGAAGAAGGGAGAAGGGAGGAGGAGAAGGAAGAAAAAGGAGAAGGAGAAGAATAAGAAGGAAGAAGAAGGGAGGAGGGAGGAAGAATGGAGAAGGACAGAGGAGGAGGAAGGAAGAGAGGGAGGAGGAAGAGGAGGAGGAGAAGAAGAATAAGAAGAGGAGAAGGAGGAGGAGGGAGGAGGAGGAAGGAAAAAGAAAGAGGAGGAGAAGAAGGAAAAAGAAGAAGGGAGGATGAAGAAGGAAATGGAGGAGGAGGAAGGAGAAGAAGAAGAGAGGTGGAGGAGGAAGGAAAATGAGGAAGAGGAAGGAGAAGAAAAAGGGAGAAGGGAGGAGGAGAAGGAAGGAAAGGGAGAAGAAGAATAAGAAGGAAGAAGAAGGGAGGAGGGAGGAAGAATGGAGAAGGAAGGAGGAGGAGGAAGGAAGAGGAGGAGGAGGAGGAAGAGGAGGAGGAGAAGAAGAGGAGGAGGAGAAGGTGGAGGAGGACTGTGGAGTCCTTGGTTCTCTCTGAGCTTGGTGAGTTTTTGCAGACATTTCACGGCCCAACTAGGGAACACCATCAGTGCTGGGATTGGGGTGTGTAGAGTGGAGGAGGATTGTGGGATCCTTTAAAATGTCCCTTCCTGGGTGGGGAGGGGGGGGCATGACAAAACTCACTGATTGTCCAAGAACGAGAGGTCTTCTTCTGCTAGTTGATCGTCCTGCATCTCACTGACTTTGGCTTCTTTGGCCACCGCTAAAGGTAGCGACTCCGCTGGGTTGTGTAAACCGTCGGCACCTGGAAGGAGGTGGGATGGAATGGTTCAATTGCCTACCTTCTTCCTCTGACCGTTCTCCATATTTAATCAAGGAATAGGCCACCGGACAATTGGTGGTCCTTCCTTAGCCGGTTAAGGATGTCCTCAACGATAGCCACGTTCCTCTCGATCCCATGAAGGCAACGAAACTGATGGGGATGATGGGAGCTGTGCTTCCAAAATATGTGGTGGGCGTCTGGTTGGGAAGACAGCCGTCTTCTCCTCTGAACCTCACCAAATTCTACTGAAGTTTCTGGTGATGGGTCAAAATTTAGGTCCTTCCCAATGCTTACAAAACCTAACTTGATATTTCTCCAACCTTCGTTGCTTGAAGTGGTGTGGATTTTAACTCCCAGAATTCCCCAGCCAGCTGGGCTGGCTGGGGAATTCTGGGAGTTAAAGTCCACACCACTTCCAGCGGTCAAGCTGGAGAAACATCACCTTAATTTTTGAACACAGAGAACTTCAGGACCGGACAACTTAAGAACTTGGGGACTCCTGACTACCATGTCCATCCTAGAAAATATCAAGGTCCCTGCATCACCAAATGCTCTCGACCCGCAAGTTCCCATCCTCACAACCCCTTCTCACCAAGATTGTCACGCAAGGCACTAGCTTCCGCGTGGCGGTCGTAGTGGTGATTGGGAACCAACTTGAGTCTCATTCGGGAGTAGGTCTCCACGTTGGACAGCTTCCAGTAGACCTCAGGTGGATTTCTGGATGGAGAAAATGTGGGCAGAAAATGCGTTGAATTCATGCACGTTTCGCATGGAGGAAGAATCCCGTCACAGATACATTTTTAAGGTGGCGAAAATACCTTTTTATCCATCTAACTAACATCTCTCCAGCTAACTAACATTCTGTCAGTGCTCAGGTGCTGGTACCTTTGCATTCCAAAGAATTGTTCAAAGAGTTTATAAATGGTTAGAAATCAGAAGCCAGAACAGGAAATGGAAGTCTTTGTAGCTTTTTTTCTAAACTAGTATTGAATAAAAATTAACCAAAGTTACTAATTACTATCAAACTTAAAAGTATTGACTACAATGTAAATATAACGGGGATATGAACAATTAATATTATTAGAAGTGGCCCAGCAGAAGCCGTTGGAGCTGCCACCAGACTCCGACAGCGAGGGGCCCTATGAGTCAGCTCTGGAGGATTAATTTTTTTCCAAAAATAATTAAAAATCACGATAATCTAAAAATAATAATTCAATGGAATTAACACAATTAATTAGTTCCCTAAACTTAATTTTATAGATTTTTAATTATAGAATTATATATTTTTAAATAGCTTTACATAAAAATTAATTTTTATAAGTCAATTTCACCAATTAACTTTAATTATACACAAATATTTTATAAAAAAGCCCACCTCCTCATGATAAGAATCAAAGTAAAATTTTAATTTAAAAAAAATTCTATATCTATCTATATATCTATCTATATCTATTATCTATCTATCTATCACCATTATCTATCTCTATCTATCTCTATCTATCTGTCTGTCTGTCCGTCCGTCCGTCCGTCCATATAGCTAGCTATCATCATTATCTATCTATATCTATCTATCTATCTATCTATCTATCCATCCATCCATCCATCCATCCACTCATCCATCCATCATCTGTCTATCTATCTATCATCTATCTATCTATCTATCTATCTATCTATCTATCTATCTATCTATCTATCTATCTATCT